ATATGAGATATGGAAGGGAAGAGTTTCTAACCTTAGTATCATGAAAATGTGGGGGTGTTTAGTTAAGGTAGCTATTCCCGAACCAAAGAGAAAGAAAATAGGTCCTAAGACTGTAGACACAATCTTTATAGGATATGCTCAAAATAGTAGTGCTAATAGATTCTTAGTTATTAACTCGAAAATTAATGAAATTTCAAATAATACTATAATTGAATCTTGAGATGCTACATTTTTTGAAGATATTTTTCCTTTTAAAAATACAATGCCTAGTCAAGTAAGAGAAACACCTTCAACTAGTGATCAACCTTCTACTAGTTCTATTGCTCCAATAAAGAAAAATATAGAACAACATGTAGAGCTAAGGAGAAGTAAAAGACCAAGAATAGAGAAGGACTTAGGAGAAGGATTTTTTACGTTTCTAGTAGAAGGAGAGCCAACGACATATAAAGAAGCTATGTCTTCTATAAATGCACTTTTTTTGAAGGAAGCTATCAATAGTGAAATTGAATCTATATTGCTTAATAATACTTGAGAGATAGTAAAATTGCCTCCTGGAAGCAAAGCTATTGGGTGTAAGTGGGTATTTAAGAAGAAATTAAAATCTAATGGGAGTATAGATAAATATAAAGTTAGATTGGTGGCTAAATGATTTACTCAAAAGAAAGGGATAAATTATTTTGATACATACTCACCTGTGACTAGTATTACTACCATTAGAATACTAGTAGTTCTTGCATCTATTCATAACTTAGTAATACATCAAATGGATGTCAAGATCGCTTTCCTAAATTGGGATTTAGATGAAGAAATATATATGGAACAACTTGAGGGGTTTATAGTGAAAGGACAAGAACATAAGGTTTGTAAGTTAGTGAAATCTTTATATGGCCTTAAACAAGCTCCCAAACAGTGGCATGAGAAGTTTGATAAAATAATTCTAGAGTATGTTTTCAAATTAATGAAATTGATAAATGTTTATACTACAAGGATAGTGATGTTGGTTGTGTGATTTTATGTCTCTATGTAGATGATATACTAATTTTTGGGACAAACTTGGAGGTCGTTAATGATGTTAAATCTTATTTGATCTATTAATTTTGATATGAAAGACTTGGGAGAAGCCTATGTTGTCTTGGGAATAAAAATAGAGAAAACATCTAATGAAATATCTCTAAGTCAGTCTAGCACCATAGCGAAAATGTTGAAAAAGTTTGATTTTTATGATAGTAAGTCTATATCAACACCATATGATCCTCATGTACATTTGAAGAAAAATAAAGGAGAACCGATTTCACAATTAAAGTACTCACAAATGATTGGATCTTTATTATACATAGCAAATAAGTCTAAACTTGATATCTCGTATGCCGTAAGGAGACTAAGTAGATATACACACAGTTCGAGTAAAGATTATTGGGTTGCCTTAGAGAGAGTGTTTAAGTATCTTAAAGGAACCTTAGACTACTCTTTATATTATAGTGGATTTCCTAGTGTTGTTGAGAGCTTTAGTGATGCAAATTGGATCACCAATAGTTTAGATATAAAATTCACTACTCGCTATGTCTTTCTGTTAGGAGGAGCAGCCATATCTTGAGAATCTAAAAAACAAACCTTAATATCACGAAGTACTATGGAGTCAGAACTTATAGCCTTAGATACCACGTGTGCTGAGGTTGAGTGGATAAAGAATTTATTACTAGAGATACCTCTAATGGAAAAACTCATACCTGCCATTTTACTACACTGTGATATTATTGCAGTGATTGAGCTTGTGAAGCAAAATCATAATAACAAAAAGATGAATAGACATATACAAGTGAGATATAAATCAATAAAGAAAATGCAGAGTAAAAGTATAATC